CAGAAATAAATAATGGAAATGACAATAAAATGAAAATATTTAGCTTTTTAATCGTATGACGTTAAATGAGATTATGACTTTAACGGAGAATTATATCGTATAATTATGACACAAAAAGGGAATTATATCGACATCTCTATATTCGGCGATATTAATAACAAGCATAAATTCAATATGGAACGTGTACAATTACGGCGCCAACCTGAAAAAACTGATGTTGCAACGAACCTTGGCGACATCATCAAGTATAACACGGCTACAGCTCCTGCAGACCGCGCTATTTCCGGACAGTTCTTGCTCCGATGTGATGCATGGCTGCATCGGGTACTGCAATTAGTCCATGACGCGACAAATAGACGAATGCATAATCCCGACACAGCGTTCGCCTTTAATCAAACCCGACGCGCTTCCACGTGCGTATGTAGGCGCGGAGACGGTTGATATTAAATCATATTGACATTCTACTCGATTCGGCCCTTCGCGCTATTCGAAACTCGTCATTAACGCGAAAAACGAAACTTTAATTGCTGTAATAATTATCGAATTAATCTCTATTTTATTTGTCATTTTTCCGATAATTTCGGTTCGCTCAAAATCGATATGTGTTCTATTTTTTGCGCTGTTTTTGTCCGCAGATATGAAAATATATGAATGAATAATTCGCGATTCATGTAATCGACATTCCGGCGTGAAATTACTATCGCGATATTAGATGCAAAGTCGGACAAGAAGAAAAAAATAAAACTTGAGAAGGGAGCGCGAAGGACTGCGACCAAGTAACGCGGTATAACTAATGACGAGGAGATAAACGGCTCGGCAAACGACGCGTAACGAGTCAAGGTGGCCGTAGAGATTCCGCGCGGAAACGGACCGAAACCTCCCGGGGGAAACCCCTTGTCAGGAAATTGTTAGGACTTCCACCGCGCGCACTAGTGGAAGCGGATCCTCCACCGCGACGGCGGCAGCAGCGACCGTCGACGTAGAACACCAGAACGAGAAGTAAACCCACGGGATGCGATGAGATCCAAATTTAGACAGTCGCCCGACTCGAGATAAATAAAGAACGATCGCCCTCAAAGTACTAAGCGCGGCGCTTCGGGATTTTGAGAAAAAAAACTGGCGAGGCAATTTAAGATAGAAGCGTAAAAAAATATCTATGCTTATTAATTCTACAATTCAGCAGTTTTGGAGAACAATATAATGACCTTGTTTATACTTTCTTAAAAATTTTTGAGAAATAAATTTAATTTATCTATCTTTTTTAATTAATTTTCTGGTCGAATAGAAAAGTGTCCGAGAGAAACTGATCAAGATAAGATTTTTAAAGATTTAAAATTGTTTAAGACGTAAAATTTTAACAGACTTTTATCATTTATCATACTTGACGCTAAAGTCAGACAATAATAATTTCTATTCATATTCATATAGATTACCTCTTATCTATTATAATTTATTGCTGTAAAAACAGTTAACAATCTTCTGACTACTATTTTTAAATACAAATGATTAAAAATTAACTAAAATAAACAAAATTAGTAACCATTCAAATTCAAATTCTTTTAATATAATAATATTAACAGAATAATATAGTAATATAATATAGTAATATAATAATATTAAAAGAATGTATTTAAATAGTTATTAATTTGACTTAATTAATTTAATTAAGCTAACTTTATTATTAATTTTAGTTATTATTAAGTTATTATTAAATTCTCTTCTAATATAATAGTATTAAATTAATTTAATAATAATTTAATAATAACTTTGTATATATTTAACTCTCTTTTTATTTTTTATCTTTATATTTAATTTTCACTTAATTATAATAATGAGAAGCTACCATAACTGTAAATATGTATATATTAAGATAAAAAAGAAAAAGATAAATAAAATTATTAAAGCTGTTATTAAAAAATTGTCAAATTTATAGTAATTTGTTCTTAGTATTAATTATGCTTAGTTTTTAATTATATTGTCTTATTACACATTTATATTTATAAGAAATAAGATAGTAGTCAAGATATTGTTAATTTTGTATGGATATAGATTAACTATTGTGTATTAATAAATTTATTTCATTCTTAATTAGTTATAGACTAGGAGATAATAACTAAGGAATATCTGAGATTAACAGTCATAAATTAATTGTCATTTACTGATCCATTTTGTCTAATTAGTTTCTGGCTATTTTTTGTCCAATGTTTTTTAATGGTTTTTTAAAACGTTATTCATCTATTAAAAAATAAAATTAATTTCTGATTTAATAGTTGACTTCACGTAAATAGGATTAAAAATTTTTTTTTACTAAGTCGTTATATAAAGTCATTTATTTCACAATCAGTAAATTTAAAATAGTAAAAACTGGCAAGTTTCTGACTTGTAAGCTAATTTTTCTTGATTTTATTAGAAAAACTTAAGAAAATTAATTTAAAAAAAAAGATTATAAAAGTTTATATATTATATTTCTTTAAAAAGTTGGATCGTTATTGTATTAAAAACTCTTCAATTGTGGATACTTGGATTTTACAATGTTTTATACATATAATTTATATGCGTTAAGATTTTTTTTAAATTACTTCATTTTGCGATTGCGACAATTAGTGCACTCTGTATATGTGTACATAACTATAAAACGTGTACATAATTATTACAAAATATATACGTAATTATTATTTCAAGTTCCTTCCAAGTAAGCCTACGCGATTGTTGACGTTGCGAAGTAGCGCCGCTGCAGAGAGAGCTAAAATGCAACCCGTTGAATAATGGAATGGTTACGAGTAACCTGGGTTAAGTTGCTCATCTATAATAATGCACAGTATGTAGCTAAGCTCCGCCAAAAGCCGCATTACCCCCGCGCTTAATAATACGTCACGGTTGATAGAGATCCTCCTAGTGAATAAATGATATAAAGACAGCGGTGCGTGAGCGCAGTATATTCAATCACTTCCTACAAGAGAAGGACAGATGCATGTTCTAGCTCTCGAAGAAATAAACTCGGGAAAGAATAGCTGGATTTACGTGTCATGTATTTTTCAGTTGCTTTTTATACATTTCAATCACGGTGAAGATGCGTAGTCTCTTTGCGAGGGCGGAAATCATGTCGACAGTTGTTGGGTTTCTATTATATATTTTATTTCGCACAAGGTCACACCTACAACTCTTTTATAATTAATACTTATCTTTGTAGTTAAAAATACTTATTTTTAACCTTCTTCTTCGAGCACTAACGCAACCCTTATTTTCATAACCCTGCGCACACGAGTTCGATAACGGTGAATTAAGTCAACGGATTAGCAACTTGAGCCAGCTGAATAGCTGGTGCAACGGTTTAACTTCGCGATTAAATTTGTCTCCGACATGGCAAATTGCTAAATTGTGAATTAGCAAATCATTAAGCAAATTTATCGCGCGATTAAACATATACATCTATAAATCACGTATATGTCTTTTTTCCGGACAATATAAATTATTTAAAAAATTATTCAGCAATTTATTTCGTATTGCAAATATCTTTCAAAAGTATGTAAATGGGTCAAGAATACATAGGAACTGTTTTTATGAAATTGTAAATTATAAATAGATTCTATCTATAAATAATCAAATATTTTAATAAAAGAGTAAATATAATTTTACAAGACACGTATCCTATTTTATATCAAAATAAACTATAAAATATCTCGTCAATTATGGATCTCTTGATAATTTTATCTTAATTTATCGTAATTTTTATATACAGATAAAAATTATAATAGTTTTTAAAAAGGAAGCGATTATATCTTACGAATAGTAGGACTAAGATTTCGTGCATTCACGGTGAAATGACAAGTGAAAAAAGTGCTGCTATGAATGGGCCACCCTTTTTATGATTATCATATAAATTTACAATAAAATTGTCATTATACTTTCTCGCTTCTCTTTCAGCTTCTCATTTAATTATTTTTTTGCGACTAATGAACGCAAGAATTAAAAGCATCTCAAAAATGATTCAAGTAAAATTTTTGTGATTATATTTTAACTTCAGTTGTTAATGGTCGATCAATATAACATTAGAACATGAAAACTATGCTACATTGTGCAAGACGAATAAATTATAATATTAAATTATAATATTAAATTTAATGTTTATTTATTTTACATTTTAGAATATTTTAGAAATATCCTATACTTGGAAATATTTTACATTTTAGAATGTTCGCAATAAAATACAAATTGCCATCGTTCAGTAAAAAATAACTAAATCAATATAGTAAACACCTTAATATTATATTGATCAACTATTTTGATAGCTGAAATTAAAACATGTCGCAAATTTTTACTTGAATCATTTGTGAGATGCCTTTAACATTCTTGCATCCATTATTCACAAAACATGTATTAATGCAATGTGTAGAAAAACGAGAAAACATAATGACAATACTATTTTAAATTTATAGAATAATCATATCATAAAAAGGACGCTCCATTCCATAAGAGCACTTCCTTCATTTGTAATTTCGCCATGCTTGAACGCGCAAAATTTCAGCCTTGTTATTCGTAAAATATAATCGCTTCCCGTTTAAAAACTATTATAGCTCAATATTTTTATCGAGATTTTTTAAAATGTCTTGAAACGTCTTAAGAAATCTGCCCTTAAGAGGAAGTCCAGCAGTTTTAGGATACCCTGCGTATAAAAAGATTTATATGTAATTCCGTTTACACAGGAAAAACTTTCGCTTTTCGGGTTGTTCTAAACCTCTTCATATTTTCTATTACAATTTACTCATAAAAAATCTATCATCATAGTATGTAATTTTTCTATACGACATAATTTTTGTTTGAAAAATTTCCATACTTTAAACTACACTTGGTTCAACGCATCTACATATACTCCCTGTTAATTTATAGATACTTCACTGATGTTTACTCATGGAGTCATTAATGATAACATCAGAATGTTTAGTTATTTAAATGAGTAAGTCGGTTATTTAAGTATTTAAGTCATCAGTCTATTTAAATGATCCATGCTCGATAACGCGTGCAGTCGCGTAGTATCCTTCGCATTGAATATGGGGCAATATAAGTACATCGCATCGACAATATGCCATCGTCTGGACAAAAGGATTTGGAGATACATATGCATCCTCGTATTGTACTTCATTCTCGCAGACGGCTTGCTCGATGGGCCCGAGCCCATAGTCGAGACGAAATGGGGCATCCTTCAAGGTAAATGGAGCAGAAGCATACGCGATCAACGGATCGCGAATTTTCTCGGTATACCGTACGCGTTACCACCAGTGGGCGATTTGAGATTCAGGGTGCGTAATTTGAGACTTATATTAATTTGCAATCTATTTGTGCACTCTCTTTCCTTTACACACGCACGCTATAAAGCTATTGAATAATAAAATATATAAGATAATTTTTGTACATATAAATATATTATTCGATAGATCCAGCGACACATAGATCCAGGGATACATCTCACACAATGTAGAAAAAAATTAAAAATAACCATTTCTCTCAATATTTTATTTAAATAAAATATTATTTAACTATATTTATTTTTCGTAATGGTGATAAGCACAAAAATATAGAGAAAAAATATTTAAAATACAATAAATAAAATTAATTATTAAAATAATTTTAACTATTATAAAAAAATATTTAAAATACAATAAATAAAATTAATTATTAAAATAATTTTAACTATTATAAAAAAATATTAAAACTCCTTATTTGAAATAATATTTAAAATTTGAATTGTATTTCGAAAGTAATCATTATTTTTATTTCTAGTATTGCTTTAGAAAAATTTTATAATCTAATTTAAAAAAAGAATATTAAACGAAAAATAAATTTAAAAAAATAAATAACTACATAAAGTCATAAAAATAAAATTTAAGTATGTTATTATTATTTATAAATAATTTGTTCTTTATTATATTTAATGAAAAAAAATTATTTTAAGTGATTATTTGTGTGTGAAATCCCTAACAAGAACGAGATATATTTGACATACTTATTTATAAAATTAACTAAATATTTTAATTATCATATAAATAAATTTCATATTAATTTCATATTAATTTTATTTGTAATTCAATAGAGAGAGAAATAACTTAGATTTTTTCTTTTTTATGGCAAATCCTATTTTCACTTATCTCTGAATAGATTTAATTCTCTGTAGATGTATATGTAAAAATTCTCTCTGATAATTTCTTTTTTCAAATTGTAACAAATAAAGAAATGCAGATTGACGATGATCTTTCAATTAATTATGATAATAATTAAAATAATTAAATTATATAATTTTCCATTTATGTAGAGCCCACAACGATGGAATTACACATGGACGACAATTCGTAATGCTACAGTTGATGGAAACATGTGTAGTCAAATAAGCGGTTCCAAAATTTCTGGTAGCGAGGACTGTCTTTATCTAAATATCTTCATTCCTTATGTAAGTTATGCATCATACAGAGATTTTCTTCATGAATGCTTTTAGAAATATTTTAATTATAATAATCGAAATATATTAAAATAATAACTAAAAGTATTATTCTTATATAATAACATGAATAATAATAAAAACTATAACAGCAAATGGATATACTCTCGTACGATTTAGTAAATAATTTATATCGTGTGCAATTTCTGTGGTTTCCTTGAAAGCTTCAAAACGAGTGAAAAATTGCAATGCTGCAAATTTTACAAACAAACACGAGTTCCATTAGATCGCGAGACCAACTTGATTTTGATTTTGATTAAACTTTTGATTAAAGTTACATTATTATGGCAGTATTGAATGAACTCTTAATGTCTGTCAAATATTTTTGTTTGTTCATAGTAGTTTTATTATTCCGAATGAATTTTCTTAGAAATCTTTATAGATTCCAGGCATTCAACGAATGAAATTGCCCGTTTTAGTCTTTGTGCATTCAGGTGCATATTATGAGGGCAGCAGCAACAGTAAAGAACTTTCACCGGATTATTTAATGGATCAGGATATAATTCTTGTAACGGTAAATTATCGACTTAATATTTTTGGTGAGCAAAAATTTATTAAATATATAACTGTTTCTCTTGAGCGCATATCTTTTTCTTTTTAAATGATCGTTAAATAATTCGATTATATAGGCTTTTTTAGTACAATGAACCAAGTTTCACCGGGCAATTATGGTCTCAAGGATATGAAGATGGCCCTCGAATGGATACAGGAAAATATTCACAGTTTCAACGGAAATCCCGAATCAGTAACTCTTATGGGAGCTAGTGCCGGTGCTGCGTTGACTCATCTACTCGCTCTCTCGAACAAGACGGAAGGACTCTTTCATAGATACATTTTATTGAGTGGTTCCGCTTTGAGTCCATGGGCTTATAATTACAAAAAGTATCGACAAATATGTTTGAAATTAGTAAAGCTGGTTGGCTGCCAATCGAAAAAAGATGACAGTATAATTGCAATAAACGAGTCAGACATCGATAATTCCGATGTGGAAAATGAGAAAAAAAGAAGTAATAATATCAGTGTTTCGTACAAAGATTATAATGAAGGATACATAAAGGACGACGAAGAGATAGTCAAATGCATGAGAACAGTCGATGCGAGGCAATTGCTGAAAATGTTAAAGCATTTTGTAAGCGTTGTCAATAATTTTGTAGAAATATCATTGTATTATATAAGACTGATGATTTGTACTATTTTGTGTTAGTATGGTGGGAGAGCAAATCGAAAATGTGTCTTTTCTCCTACGTTGGAAGATAATTCAGAGGACGCCATTCTGACGATGCATCCGTGGAAAATAATAAAGGACGGTTTGTTCCGCGATATACCGGCAATAATGCAAGTCGTGAAAGGCGAAGGGTTGACGAAGACGTTCGGTAATTTCCGTTATTACTTTTGTCGTAATAATAATATTTAATTAATTAAAGTTGTCGCGCAAGTTAAATTAATTAACGGCGTCGGATAATTTGCGCCCGAGTGAAAGAAATACGCGCAGCTATACGCGATTCATATTATTACATTAATTAACTTTATATCTCTATAGAGTTGAAACTCCCGTCTTATGTTTAAAGTGCTAGCTGTATGACACTCGAGCTCTTTTCATAATAATGAAATTATCTTTAATAAATTAATAATGATGATTGTATAAAGTTCGAAGTGAAACAAAAAACAAAGGATACTCATGTCCATGTATCCGTTTTAGAATTCTTCACAGATCCGACCTTGGAAAAAGAAATGATAGAGAATTTCGAAGGATACATATTTGATTTTTTAGAAACTTTCAAATGGAATTTCAACGCTGACGCTTTTATCCCCGGGATACAGGATTTTTATTTCAATGGAAATATATCGTTGGGTCTTAAAGGCAACATAACAGAGGTGAGTCTCACAGGGCGAATCAAATTGTAATGTTAACAGCAAGATATTTCTCTAGATGCTGAGTGACGGCACAGTAATATGGCCGATATTAAAAGCTGCGCGATATCAATCAGAAATAGGAAACTCCAGTGTTTATTTCTCTTTTTTCGCGTACGAAGGCACATTCTCGCATACTTTCATTTACGCAGGCTCCCTGGCTTATTATGGTACGTACGTTATCAAATGTAACGATTTTTCCGAATAACAGAGAATCAAGCTAAGAGGATTAAATCTTAATCTCTCATTTTTACACAAAATGAATATGTAATTAAATGACAACATAATAATCTTTTTCATATAATTTTTCCTTTTTTATATAATCTTTAGATAATTAAAAAAATAATTGAGATTATTATGTAAAAAAAAAATCTAAAAAAAGAAATGATTCTTTATTATCTTTAATTAATATCTTTAATGTTTGTGGGTGTGTGTGTCGACTTTCTTCTCAGTTAAAAATTAAACAATTTTAAAATGTATATGTAGATTTAAATAGATAATCTATTTCTATAGGTGTCTGTCATAACGATGACATGAACTACTTATTCCCTGTATTGAATAATATGTGTCGAAATCTGATGTTAAATAATACGGAGAGCGATTTTATGATTATCAAAATCATGACAGAGATGTGGGCGAATTTCATGAAAGACGGGTAAATATAATTAAGAATATCGTACGATATCTGTTAATACTCACAAATCTACGTAACATCAGAAGTGCGAATAAACTCAGAAAATCAATTATCAATTATAATTTATCGAAAATTAATATAATAATTCCTGAAACATATTACGTCTTGTTTTCGTTTTGCAATGCGTAATCGTCCGTTTCAAAGCCGATTGGAATCGCTAACATTCCGATCTTCGCTCATGATAACCGGATGGCCTTGCCAATCGTAATGTTTATTACACATTTACAGGGTACCGAAAGCGTGGATGATCCCTGCGTGGCCCAATTACCGCGACTATCATCAGTTTATGAGATTCGGGAATGGTAAGTCGACGGATATTGTGGTACAAACCGATTTCCTGTGCGACAGAATGGAGTTCTGGGAGAAGTTACAGATCAACGGATGGATGAAATACACGAATGGATGGATGAATGACACTATCATCGACGATTCTCCGGATGATACGTCTCCCGTTAACGATGACCCCATCGAGTACAAGTTAACAATTTATCTTGTGTTATTAATTATTACTTTACTTTGCGTATTAAAATATTATTAAATATTATTACAATTATTTCATTTGCGATCGAAGATGAACTGCGTGATAAAAACGCGACAAAATTACTAACAATCGTTTATACATATCTCGTCACGATTCATAGACGATATTTTTTCGCATATAAAAACAGAGAGAAAAATGCGCGAATAAATTAATAAGGAATATAATATGTTAAGCATAAATTTTATTGTACATAAAATATTTTTGCTTCATATAAAAAATGTATTTTTTATCAAATATTATAGAATATTATACTATTTATGTATGTAAAATTATAAAATATGTTATTTAAGTGCAATAAAAATATTTATAAAGATAAAGTAAATATACATGTGTATGTACGTATATCGCAGAAGGATATACTAGTTTGTTCGCCTCTTGTGGCTCAAGGCATATTTGCAGTTTGGTGTACTTTCCGCGGAAGCTAGTTTACTTGCACCAATAAAAAGTAACGATGATAATAAATACGAAGCGAAGCTGTTTCATTTACTATCTAACGCCTATCTTATTCGTGGCATGAGAGCGAGAGCGTTACAGCTGTTAACATCGCCGATAAAGTTTCCAAAACTAGAGGAAGGAAAAGGGAGTTCTGAATTTAACTCCGTAAATGAACATTCGAGTTGGAACAAACTTATGTTTACCGATCTAAATCGTAAAGTTTTCAAAATTTTTCTTTTCACTCCGTTCCAGGTTTCACTTTTCCAACAGCGTTTTCATATACAAAAACAAAAGTAAAATATTTAAACACAACGTTATATATTTAAATATATACTCTCAGATATATGTACGTATATGAAATTCTTTTTAAATATATATCGAAATGTATCATTTTCATCGGAAATTTAATTTCTACCGTGTGTATTTTCATGCTAGGCATATGAGAACGTAGGCGGAATCACGATCCAAGCAGGCCGTCCTTGAGAGAGCAATTTGCGCTTCTGTCCGCAATTATAGCCGAAATTAACGTTATGAAAAATCCCCGGCGCCGCAACCGCCGCATTAAAGGGAGCCTAATAAACGAAAGGCATAATGAAATTCGCTTGGAAATTAAGTTCGCCACGCGACGAGTTAACGCGTATATAAAATATGCAGCTCCCGGTTTTTCCCGGTGGAAGCGCTATGGGCGCGCGAAGAGTACGCGCTCGGGGAAATTAATCATCCGCCCTAGGCAACCGCTGTTTGTCTTCTTTCCGTTTTCCATCCGTTTCCGGATATATCGCGAAGGAGAGAGAAAGAGAAAGGGAGAGGGAAGGAAGAAAGACAAATCCGCTCTCTGGCAGAAAGAGCGAGCGAGATCTCGTCTCCGCGAGCAATGATTATGCAACGACGATGAAACGAAGACAAACACCGTATCTTCCGAGTGTATCACGAGACCATATCGTCGTGTCTCTCCTAAGGATGAAAAGTGCTAACAGCCATGTTAAATCCGCGAGATCTGAGACTTCGCGCGGATTATTGTAGAGCTTTTTTGTCGAATCTCGCCATGATGGAATAAAATAAGTGCAGAGTATAAAAGAGTGGCATTCGCAATTGCATAACTTGCAAATCTACCTTTTTAATAATAAATTTTAAAAATTATTTATATACACGTACAGAGAAAATTAATTAATAAATGCAATGAATGATGTATAAATTTTCAAAAAGTGAATCATCTTGTATATAATAATAATATTAATATTGCATAAATTTAATAATTTAATGAGGATAGAGGATTTCTCCTTGTAAGAATTATTATAACGCAGAATCCATCTGCATCATATTTTTGGACTCGACAAAACTTGAAGAAACCAAGCGTGAGATTGCGCGAAGAAAAAATATTCTTCGTAATCAAATATATCCGCAAAGAACAGGCGACCGGGAATGTTATATTAAATTTCTACCGGACAACATTGTTCTCAGCGATATTATTTCATTATTGCAGGAACGATATTTCATGTTTTCTCCTTCTCGCCAACCGCCTTACTCAAATGCCACATATTTCATCAATGTTTGCGCAAATATTTACATCTCTTATATATCTCCGGCGCTTCAGAAGCACAAATCTACGTCCTCGACTGTCGATACAAAAATATAAAAATAATTTAAAAAATTAAAATAATTAGAAAAAGTGGAAATCATGCAAGCAGTCAATTAATTATATTTCGTTAATTTCGTATATCAATATTACGATTTGATTTAACGTAATATAAATTATTATTATATAAGACATGTAGTAAAATATATTAAGAAACCATTAACAAGCAAACGCGTATTGACAATTTTATATTAATTATTATATCTCTAAATTTGATTACTGAACTCATTTTTTACTTTTCTCATTACCTGACTTCGAATCAGTTAATTTGATTGAATCGGTAAGATATTTTAATTCGACGCCCGGAGCGCAAAACTAATTAATAGCATGACAAGGCAAAGGAGAATTGCTGAGCGATAAACTCTTGAATCGTTTTAAATTATATATGTGAATATGCTAAATGAAACGACAAAGATAATATTGTTACATCCTCGGGATATATAGAAAGGGAATAAAAGCTATCAAAATCAAATATGTAGCTATCAAAATTACATATGTAACGCAGTGAAAGATTCAACTTTTACCACCATCGACAAGCGCTAACTTTACAAAGAGAAATCTTGAGAAATTAAAATATATAGATCGAGAAAAATTTACTTGAGAAAAATTTGCTCTTTTGCAACTTTACGAATTAAATAGCTCTCTTTCGCTTCTTTCCGATGGCGGACAAATGTAAGAATGAGAGAATGACGTGTAACTCGCTATGAAATAACTTGCGTCGTTGGCAAACAATGGCGCTCTGTGTATCCGAAATAGGATTCCGTTGCGCTTAATACACCGAGATAGTGTCCTTTATAAGTTCGAAACAGAGTCGATGCTTAATCCACTTTCCTCTCATTGCTAATGAATAGAGTTCCGCCGGCGGCGTTCGCGACTACGAAGCCATGCCGTTTCGTGGCTTTGGAATTAGATTCGCGAGATGCCTGGCGCTAATGCGATATTCAAAATTCGCGGATCCATCGCGCAAAATGGGAATCTCGTGCAAATATCGCATTCATCGAAACACATTTGATGATACATTTCAAAGTACCAATACATTAATAAAGAGATGTAATAACGTGTTATGTGTATCATCTTTTTTCGTTTCATATTTCATATGTATTTTCAACATTCCATTTATACGCACTTTTACACGGATTTTCAATAACGATATTATTATTATTATTATTATTTCCTCGCATAAATAAAAATTATTTTATAAAATAGAAATATATAAAGGAGAGCATACTATGATCTCCCCTTTTATGGAAAAATTGGTTCAAATCTGCTGGGCTTAATCTGCTTGTCCATGCTAGAAAACGCTATTCGGAAGAAGAATAGAATGAAAACGCTATTATCTCAAGCTCGAATTATCTCCCGGGACACACTTTTCCAGCGCGTTCCAGCGTCGAGCTTAAATTGTAATTTCAGCCTTTGTCGCGGTCTCTGGCGACAATACTTGGAAAACGCGCGGGCGTTTTCAGTCTGTTTTTGCGCTCCTAGTCACGTGCGTATGAAAAACGCGCTTTGACGTGAAAAATGCACTACCGTTTGAGTTAAAGGGCGTTGCGCGCAACGAACGCGACAGGATCCCAGAAACGCGTGGGAGGAAAAAAGTGGACACGTGGAATGTATGTTTTTTCAAGCTCGTTGGAAGAATCGTGAGAAAGGTACCGCGCGTAAACGATGAACGTGAAACTGAAAGAGGGGAGCAGAGACACGCAGAGAGAATCGAATTTATTCAATACGAAGGATCATTTACGTCAATGATGGTGTTTAGATGTGTTCGCATTTTTCTCCTTTTTTTTTGTCGTAAGCGAACTATAAGTAGATTCGTCTTGAAACAAGTGTCGATAGGAAATGGAACAAAACGCTATTGATTGGCGATTTGCATAGGCAAATAAACTCCAAAGAGACCGACCAAAACGGCGTTGCTATTTGCGCAGTGAGCGAATGATTGTTTTCGAAACGGTTCCAGAAAGAGAGAGAGAGATAGGGGGGAAGGGAAGGTGAAGGTGTACAGGAAGCGCGTGGACACCTTTGAATTCAAACCAATCAGCCAAAGTGTCAATTTCCCGTAAAAATGGATGTTTGCCAATGTTAGAGAACTTTACGAATTTACGACTCATCCATGGAATATCCATTTTTTTTACATCAATATGAAAGCGCACGAATTAAATATTGCACGAAACAATGAGAGAAAAATTCAAAAATATCTTGATATATAATTATAAACTTTATAATTAATATTTTTTTTATTTAGAGCTTTGATTATTACAATAATCTCCAAACTTTGTAATTCTATCTAGAATCCGAAAAAACCTATATCATAGAGTTACGTGAGAAAAAAATTGTCCAGCGTGATTTTAATTCTTTCCTGTACCGCTTAACTTTTAGATCGCGAACAGCGATGACATAAAAATGTTCCAGATTGCGCGGCTCGAATACGTCGAAATTCACCTTTTCACGAGATGCAAATCACGCATCGTGAATTGCGATACCGGCGTGTCGCGTGACGGCGTCGGTTAGTCGATGTCGTGCACAATACGTTAATGCGACATATTGTTCGCTGCACAAAAATTGCCCCTCGTTATATGCTCGACAATGCGAAGCACACCCTCCTTCATGATACACCTGTAACGACTGTCGACACATGAAGTCAATCGAGAAAAGCCAGAAGGAAATCAGAATCCTAACGAATACATTCTAGGTAGAATTACAATTCAAAAAAATCTGCAAAAAAAGAATTTGATAAAATTAATAAATGTATAAAGTATTTTAAAAACATTTTGATATATGAGATAATAATATCTTGTGAATTTTATAATTTATATAGTAACATCGTAAAAACTCGAATCTCAAAACGTAATTATTGCATTTTTATATTATGTATGAGATGATGTGAATAAACAAAATTGGCTGTAATGTTATGGAAAATGTCAAAAGTAGATCTACGAAAATTGTACGATAACTTTGTACATGCTTATGTACGAAAATTATTGCTCAGTTAACATGTAACGTTTATTTTATTTCAAGAGTTTTATTTTCAAAAAAATATATTATTTCAGTATATAAAATGTCGGAATTTTCCCCG